TGATGGTGATCCTAACTGTATCGCTCTAAGCCCATATGGTGCCTTAGATCCTGAGTTTCGTCCATCAGAGTTGGACTTTGGACCGCTTTTGGGTCAATACAGAAACTCCGAAAATCCTGCAGGGACACAGCTCCCGACAAACAGGTGCTGGTATGTTACCATTTCAAATTAACTAGCAAGGTCTTTTGTAGTAAATCATTACACAGTCAGCAGAGAAGTGAGCTTACAGTGTGATTTCAGAGCTGATTGGGCTGCACTGTGTTTAGGTACTCTCCCTCTCCTGGGCACTGTATGCATATTGTGGCTCATATCACTCATTTAGCAAAGTCATGGCATACAAGAATAACAAGCTGACAGCTATAGTGCATGTTCTGTTCAATGTTTATTTTTTTGGAGAGACTCGATATAAGATGCCGACTTTAGAGCCAAAATGTGCCAAATGAACACAGCTCTGGAACACTGACTGATGCCAGACTGCACAGATCACACTTCAAAAGGAAACAGGTCGCTCTCTCCATAGAGCGGCTTCATGCCCACATGCATGTGTGAATTTCAAAGATGGGCGATAGCCTTGAAACAACACTAAGAGTCTACAGCCAGGGCAATACTAAGATGCTGATGTTAAGCAGGTATAATGTTTACTATGTTTACAATCTTACCTCATGCATGTTAGCAAACATTTGCATATTTTATTGAATGAGTGAAAACTTTGACCTGCTGGTGGCGCTAGAGGAAAAGTAATGTAATCACCAAAGTCAGTAGGCTTCTCTGTGGGCCATGAATATCTGTACAAAATTTCATGGCAATCCATCCAGTATTAGTTGAGATATTTCATTACGTTCGGTCTAGTTCCATTTTAAGCTGCTAGCATGGTTAATAACAAGAAAAGAGAGTACTGTGTGCTCACAATATCAAACTTTGTCTGATATTATCCCCTCTCCTCTGCTATACTTCATTTCATTTGCTAGTATCAGACAAGAAAAATGTAAAGCAACATGTAGCAGTGATGTGTCAGATTTCTTTGTGTTTCGTTAGATGACTGCAACTATTAAAATTAGAATTTCAACTGGTCTGGGCCAGTGCCAACAAAAGTGAGTGCAAACATACGCATGGAGTAATATTCAGCGTTGCCTGACATCATCACTTGTGCCATCATGATAAAAGGTCCCATGAAATAGATTTAAAATCATAATTAGTTTGGCATCCTGTGATGTGAAAGCACGTTGTAGATTTACATTGGGAGGGACTTCAAAAGTAGGTGGAACTGATGTTGATACAGTTGTACACTGACAGCAACATACAGCCCTTTGACCTCTGTTTTTGGGGCTGTTGATTAATAAATTGGTAAACCTACACAAACCCTCAAGCTGTGCTATAACTCTTTATCACAGCATATTTAAAAAAATGCAAGGAGTGAGGGAGCAAAGACTGCAGGAGACCACATGGCTACACAGTGTGTGACTTGAAGGGTCAGGGGACAACGACTGACCACCGGTCAGTGTAGCATGGACAGCCATGTACTGTAAAGCTGTTAGTCAGAACTAAGCAGGCCATTAGAAGCTATTCTCAGACTCTGTGTCTATGATGCAGGTGGAGCTTTGGCAGTCACTAGAAACACATTTGTGTCTAGCGTGTCTATGGGGGAGTGTCAGTACATACAGTAGTCATGGCCGTGCTGTTCATCACAGTTAACGATCCTGTTAAATATCTTGTTAAGCTCTGTGTATAGCACACTTATTGATCAGCCTGTGCTTATCAGGCTTGCTAATGCTAACGTCACCAGCAGCTATATGTGAGAAGCACAAATTGGTGGTGTGTTGATTGTGTTGAGCGATTGTTGATATGGTGCCAAATCCAAGCAGGCACATACAAGCAGAGCAGAAAAGGCTATTTCTGTGCAAAAAAACCAACTAGTTTGATGTGTAGTTCCTAATGTTTGGGTGGAATGCTGCAACTTCTACAATCTCATATTGTTGGATGTAATTTTTGTATAGGCTCTTAGTGCAAGGAGTTATCATAAAATCTACACTTAACACTTTGAATGACACCAACATCTTTTTTTAAATTGATAAGATTTTGATATAGTCTAAAAAAAAAGTCCGTAAAAAGGTATTTCTGCTTGCCTAAGTCCTGCTCTCCAACCAGCAAACTGAAACACACCACTTCCATTTTCAGCTGTCCTTGGCATAAAAAGAGATTTTTGGAGTATTTACCTTGGTGATGAGCAGAGGTTCTCGATGCTCCAGTCCCCCTCTGAGTGTAAATCCCCAGGGTGCTCCTCCAGAAAGAAATACATCCACCAGCTTCCAGCCCTCACCATCTCTGCTCCTTGGATCCAGATCTCCGGATTTCTGCATCACATGCCAAAGGCTCTCTGCTTCTGTATAGTGTGGTTCACTTTTATATCCCTCAGTATCCATGGTACTGTTATAAGTAAGTAAAAAAGACAACATGAAAACATGATCGGACACAAAGTTATGTTAAGCACTAAAATATGTAAATGTTGAAATTTTAAAAAAGGATTAATTTTGGTCCCAATCTACTATTCATAGTCAGTACCCATTCTGTAAGCATTTTCTGTTCCAGTGTTATGCTGATGACACCCTGCTGTAACTCCCTCTGCAATCAACTGTCCAAACTGCCTTGCAAGAGCAGACAGCTACAGCTAGATCTTCACTGGTACTAAAGAACAAGACAATATTACCCCCATTTCAACATCGTTACTTGGGTTGACTTGATAGTCAATTCTAGAAATGATCAATATTTTACTGATCACTTTCACAGCTCAGCATGGTCTGGCCACATGTTATACTGCTGATCTTTTAAGCCTTCCTGAACCTGAGCGTGACCTGAAAAGACTACTGGCTGTTCTATAATCTAGAATGAATAACGCTAACTGAGCCTTTGCCAGCGGCTGGAGAAGCTAAAAAATCAGACTCTGGTAAATAAGAAAATGTTTAATTGAAAATATTCTCTTTTATCCTTGATACATTTTTAAAGTTTGTACAGCTGACCTAATTTTGGACCATGTGTTTTTTATTTACTCTACTTTATTTACTATATTTCCCTTTCATTGTTTTAGTGAAACACCTTGTAATTTCTCTTTTAAGCAAATTGTGTTTTGTCTTAATTGGCCAATATTGCATTAAATAATAGATATTATTAAATAATAATAAATAATAGATATTTAATAATTTATTTTTATCATTTGTCAATCTGTTTGATGCCTAACATAATGCAGCTTCACCATTAATTAAATTCAAAATGTAAAAGAATATACACATACAATACTTACACAAATGTAAAGTCATAATTAAGCCAAGCAAAGCATAACTTTTACCAAATGCTGTTTATATTAATTTGGTCAAAACTAAATTCAAAATTAACTTGAAACAATGATTTGTGTGCTACATGTATGGCTGTTACTAACTTTAATGGTTTATTAATGGCCTGTTGTCTTTTACATGGTGTAGGATTCAACTGGCATCACTGACAGTAGCGTTTATATTTCCAACACAATAGGAAAGGGAACAGAGCATGTCTGTGCTGAGTAATACAGTAAGTTCTTATTCAAACATGGCAGCACCATTACATCAAGCAAAACCTGACACAAAAACTAACAAAAAATGCTGGTCACCACTGGGCAGTATAACAGTACCACTGAATGTGCCTTTCTTCTGGCAAGAACCTAAAAGCCTATGTAGGGTCATACATTAGGAGTGGGGGAGCCTTTGGGATAAAGTTACAATTAATTATTTCTCCCCAAAAAAGTATACTGTATAGTTTTTTAAATATTCTTAACAAATTAAATACAATTTCAACAGAAAGGTCTCTCACGTCAAGAATTCCGCATTATTTCGGCCAGCAAGTCAGATTTGATTCCGTTTATGTAACATAACATAACATTATATATGTAAGATGTAACCTTTCCATAGATGAACGACTTTCGTGGTTTTAATGGCTGGACTAAAACTGAAATTACATATGTGTGCTTGATTTGAAAGCGACTCCTCTTAAAGACATGAAACAATGGTGTGGATGTTGAGGTCTGTCTTGCCTCAGTCTCTGTATGCTATAAAATGCATCATTGTGTCACTAGTTTAGGGACTCTGTAACGCCGCGTAAACACCTGTTGTCACACTGCAGACAGGCTGACTTAAACTTAATGCTCTTATGTGTGAGATAATTAAACACACCAACAATGTCGGACAGCACAATGGACACCATCTTCGCCTGTGCCAATACATAAGCAACACTGAGCTGAGTTAAACGGACTTGTTTAACGAGGAAACCGAATCTCCGTGTGAAACAAACACTTTTCCATTAAATTAACTACTACTACTATTACTCGACTCCGTGAGGTCCATAGCTTTTAAAAAATAATGATAAAACTCCGCTCAAACGCTTGACCTTACCTGGAAAATTCAACTTCTGGATAAACCGGTGAACACGAAGGCTTCCTCGGGGTGGCACGCAGCTATATCCCAGGTTTACGTTACACATACTTCATCTTTTATCTTCATAAGAATCACTTTCTGATGAAGCGCTAGCTGTGTTGGATACGCTGAGAGTTTCCACTGTTTTTAAACGCAGCACTTCAGTCCGTATCCTACTTCATGATTCAAACCGAGACACACTGACACACTCAGGAGAGTTTAAATTAGCTAAGCTAACCTAGCTCCCATCCATGGACAACAGGGATAACAAGTGCAGGAGAACACAGCGCAAGCGTGCCATCTACCGTCAGCTAGCAAGTGAGGTCAGACTTCCCTCTGAAAACGCTGTCCTGCGTTATGCTTACAGATAAAGTTATGTTCTAACACCAGAGCTGAGACTTTAAGCACTACTTTATGGGAGGCGAGACACAGCTAACCGCAGTAAATCGCTATTTAGCTAACTTTTAACTTTTAACTTTACACAAACTTAACCATCTCGAAGGGAACGCGTACGTTTCCATGACAACCTGTCGGGTTAAGACAGGATACGTAGGAGGGCCAAACTTCACCGATTCGCGGAAGTGGTTGAGTGGTGAAACGTCATCAGCTATCACTGTTGTTATTACTTTGAAACTATTAGAAAACTGGCGTAAAAACGGAGTAATTCATCGGTAGAGCATGATAAGGAACTTCTTTTAAGTTTATTGTCAAAATATTTAAAGCATGTTTCAGAACTGGGGAACCTGGCTTGGAATAGAAACCGAAAATGGCCAAGTTAAACAAGAAAGCGAGTCTGTTGTTGATGTTGATGAACACCAAAACCATGACATGAATAACCCGACTGCTGGAGCTGGAGCTGGGCAGAGCAGTGCTGTGGAGGACGATGCTCAACCGCCTCAACTCGTCCAGAAAGCGAAGGGCTTCAGTGGTCAGTGTGGTCACAGCTGATAGAGGAGGAGTAGTAGTACAGTTTGTGGAAGCATCAGACTGCTGCTGCTACAAACTGTACTACTCTATCAGTAATGTCTGCTTCTTTGCAGGTTACATTTATAATTTCGCCAGCAGTGCTTCAAAGAAACTGTCCGAGTCCGTCGTTGAAACAGCACAAACCCTGAAGAAAAGTGTGGAGGAGGGGAAGATCAATGGGATTATTGATAAGGTGGATATTGGTTTAAATGACTTCATCTCCTTCCTTGTCCTAATGAAGTTTGGCCTGTTTAAGTTAATGATACACTGTCTTCCCTCAGACCATTTTGGGTGATTTCCAGAAAGAACAAGAAAGGTTTGTTCAGGAGAAAAAAGCGAAAACTTCTGGTAAGAACTGTATGTTATACTCAGTATTTATTATATGTGAGTCCATTATATTACATTACAGTAAGTGCAGGCTGGTGGTCTTTGTTCCCAGGTGCTGCTGTGCCTCCATGGGTTGGGTACAGCGAAGAGGACACCATTCAGCAACAGATTTTGGCTCTCTCAGCCGTGAGTATTACTCCTTACTAAATGTTTCTGTTGTATCTTCAGTTTGTTTCTTTATTTTTATATTTTTTAGTTTTGTTTATTTTGGTGATTTCAACATACGCAACTCCAATGTATGTTTGTTGCAAAATCTTTTTCCCCCAAAGGCCAAGGTGCAGTCCTTAAATGTCTTGTTTTGTTAACAACACAAATACATTCAGTTAACTGTCACAGAGGACTAAAGAAATAAGAAGATATTCACATTTGAGAAGCTGAAATAAAAAAATTTGGACATTTGTTTTTGAAAACTGACTCAAAATTAATAATGCCCCCCAACTGACACTGACTCTGAAACCCACCACCCACCCAGAATATATGCATTGCGTTAATTCACTGTCCTCGGATATGTCACACATTGCTAACTTGAAGATTCCCTGGTCAATTTTTTTGCACATTTCTTCACTTGTTTGTTCAAGTATCCGGCCATATTGTACATGTTCTCTCTTTATATTTGTATTTATTGGCTCCTTTTATTGTCTCTGCTTTTATCTTTATTTATATTTGTGTAATTGTTATGCTCTAACTTACAAAGGCAAATTCCTTGTATGTGAAAACCTACATGGAAATAAACCTGATTCTGATTCTTGTAGCTCTTTTCTGTGAAAAATTAGATTTTTGATTCTTTTGTGTGTTTTTCCTCAAACCTTCACATTTGTTGACAGGACAAAAGAAATTTTTTGCGAGATCCTCCTGCCGGGGTGCAATTTCACTTTGACTGTGAGCAAATGTATCCAGTCGCCATGGTGATGCTGGAGGAAGACGAGCTCCTTCGGAAGATGCGCTTCCATCTGGTGCCCAAACAGTGAGAGTGTTTTGACACACGCATACTACTTTGTCCTGTGTTTTCATCATGTGCATCCCTGCATAAGAGTGGGTTTATTAACACTGTTTAAATATGTTTGGACTCCATATCTCTTACTTGCATACTGCACATAGTGTATATATTTTTAATTATAGTCTTTGTATTTTCTATTTTCTATTATATCATTATAAAATTTTATAATAAAACTACAATATTTTACTCCACCACAGAGGTGACTGCATATTCCTCTATGTCATTCATTTTAGGGTGAAAGAGGAAGCCTTCTGGAAGAATTACTTCTACCGTGTGTCCTTAATAAAACAGTCAGCTCAGCTCACAGCTTTAGCAGCACAGCAAGCGGCGGAGCGCAGAGACATGCAGAAAACTGACACCAGTCCCGAGGCTGGTCATCACAAGGGTAAAACTATGATGCCTGTCTTTAATCTTAATTTTCTTGTCAGTGGAAAAACAAATAATTAATTTCACTGACACAAATAGAGATTTAGCCAAATATTGTGTGATAAACTGAGTTAACATTAGGAAATGTTTGAAATGTTTTGAACATAGTATTTCACCCTTATATTTGTGATATAATCTGCTTCATACCAATGTTAATACCACAAACATATGAGGATGACTAACATGATAAAGTATGACTATCAGTTTATTTTTTTCTTTGAGTATACTTGAGAGATCTTGTCAAAAATGATCTTTGCAGATGCAGTGAAAAGGAAAACTCCTGCTGCCATCCACACTACGAAACCAAAGTCAAGTGAGGTAAGCCACCTTACTTTACAAAAAATAAAATACCCAAGAAAACAAGATTTTACACCATAAGTCAGTAATTGGACCAAAATGAGTGCCGTTGGTGGTTCTGACCTCTTTCTGCTTCTGTTATGAAAGGATGAAGAGATCTCCACCAGCCCGCCTGTATCTGAATTTGTGAGTGATGCTTTTGACTCATGCAAGATAAATGAGGACGACCTACGCAAAGAAATGGAACAGCTGGTTCTGGACAAGAAGGGACATCCAAACACACAGCAGGGTGAGTTATTTTTTGTTAAATTGGGCTGCAATGTAATTAGTAGAGTTTATCAGAGTTCAAAGAGTGACTCAACATTGGGTTTTGCAGAGGAGACTGCTGACTGGGAGAGAGAGCTGCAGGAGGAACTTCAGGAGTACGACGTGTTGGATGATAATGAGAACCGTGATGACAACTGGGACAGGGAGATTGAAGAGATGCTAAAGGAGGACAGTTAGAGCACTCATACAAAGCTCCTCCAGTCATAACTGTTCGATGGAGACCTTTAGGGACAGAAACAGCACATGACTACAGATTTAATGCTCCCTCTGGAATGGTTCATTACAATATTGGTCCTCCAAGAACTCTCAGCACAGAGAAATACTACTGAACATCATTAACATTTCAGTGTACTATTTCTGTGGCCTGGATAGTTTAAGGTTTTATGAGTACATGTTTAGAGTCCTCCTGTTTAAAGGAAAAGGAGATATTGTCCTGCATCTCCAGTTCATAATGTGATAATGTGTACGCCTCCACAGACTGTAGACTTGGGAATTAAACAAGACGATGTAACTTGCTGAATGGCTGCCACAAGTGTCAATTATAGGATAATGGTTAATGCTGAAAATACAGTGCTGAAGCATAACAGTAGCACAAGTAAACAGGAGTCACAAACTCAGCAAACTGCCTCAGGAATGTCTGTTACACAGCAATATCTGCCTAAAGTAATTGCGACCAATAACTAACACCAAGCACCATAAGCTACTGGTCATACCAGACCAAAGTAAACAGCGAGTATACTGAACTGAACAGGGCTGTGTTTTTTTTCTTTTATTTGTGAATTGAATTGTTCATTTATAAGAGGAAGAATGTGCTGCGACTTTGTAGTCTCACTTTAAACATACATTTTGGCACAAATACCATTATGATGATTTTAAGTTCATTCTTATTATGACATTCAGATTAAGAGGCAGTGTAAGGCAGTGTGGCCCTGCCGTGTCTTTCTCGCCTTACTGATGCCAGTTGTCTGCTGCAGAAACACCTTGAACTGAATAACATGATCCAAGTCAGGTGATATTTTCTCTCAGTTTTGGATGATTTCATGTTACCAGTTAAGTTTATTTGTGGCTGTTTACCGTAGTTTCTAGTGTTTATACTTACTGTAAATGCAAACATCAGTATAGTGTTTTTTTTATTTTTTTTTACCCTTTAACCTTAGCATTTATTACTATCTAAAATGTTTTATTATGCTAATGCATGTGATTCTATTAAAGTCCCCCTCCCCTCAGAAAGCAGTGTTTCTTCTTGTTCCTACAGTGTGATGTTTGAATGCCGAGTTTGGCTCTAGAAGGATGTTTTCACATTCATCTGCTGAAAGTTTCTCTGTGCTCATTGATAATCTGATTTTAAGGGGTGGGGCCTACAAGCATGATTTGTGACATCACAAATAGTTTTGTGATGAAAAATCAGACACACATTATTGTTCCAAGCAGCTATTGTGTTTGTGTTAATACATGTCTGGAGGGGATCTTTAAGTTTGCACAGGGGCTGTGTTTGGATACAGTTCTGTATCAGACAAAGAAAATTAAAACTCTTTATTTTTCTTAAATTAAAAATCTTTTAAAAACTGTACTTTTTATCACTACAGCTGGGCCTTTCACTTCTTACGTGCTGTGAGTGACCAGTGGAGAATGAATTAAAGGAAACAAGATGTTTGTGACAGTACAGCCTCTCTGCCACTAGAGTGCTCTTTATTGCTGAACTTGACAGGAAAACACAAACTTTTATCCATTTCAGAAAGGGTAACAGGAAACAACAGAATATACCCTCTATAAGTAAACACAAGTCCAGTAATGTAATACAGCTGTTGCATTCATGCTGTAACTTCACCAACACACAGTAGAGAATGCCATAGATCAGTCACACCTCTGAGACAGATCTGCACATTATATTATACACAATAAATTATACATGAAATGTATACAAATGATACATACATGAAAGTTATACAAAAGAGGTAACAGGCATTCCAATATTTTAACATGTCAAATAACTAGAAGAAGTTGCAAAATGGTAAACCAATAAAGTTTCAGGAAAAATATATCTTATATTCTAAGGCTGACTCTTTACCACAGCGGCCCCGGTTTGATTCCACCCTGTGGACCTTTGCCACATGTCATCGCCCTCCCTCTGTCCCCCATTTCCTGTCTATCTTGAGTTACCCATATCAATTAAAAATGTGTAAAAAGTCCCCCCAAAATAATCATAATACCAACTGTATATGAACATAAAACAGAAATAGAATTTATGATATTTGTACAGTCCTGTGTCCAAGGCATTTTATGTGTGTCTGTGGCAAGTTTCTTTTTTTTAAATTCTCCAACCAGGCATCTGGAACCTACTTTTAGTTTTGGCTCATAAAAAGAAAGAAAAGAAAATCTCATACTCTGCTACAGTTTATGACGCTATTGCTATTTTATGCACGGTCTCTTGAGCGCTCTTCAGTTTTCAGAGTCACAGTAGTAAGAAAGTAGTTAACGTGCTGTACAGCATGTCAGAGGCCAAAGTGTCTTTGTTGTTGTATTAAATCTCTACCAATGTGGGGTAGACAGTGAAACGGCTTTGAAAGAGTAGTTGTTGTAAAGCTCAATACTCTGGCAGAAGTGCCTCAGCTTTAGGTTGTCACACCGGTCAGAGGTCTGTATGATTAGCACAAGTTTGTCACTAAAATATCAACAGTGTAAAGATAAAAAGGGAAACAGTTCATTTAAAATATGCTCCAAAAAATTCTCTCATCTCCTATTCTCTTAAATCAAATGACGCCATTTCTATGATGAATTTCTGTGACGTATTGTACATAATGTGTAAAGTTAAAGCTGCAATAATCAATATTTTTTGGAACGAGCATAATGTGAAAAGGGGTGGCTTGTTGGTTGAGATCAAATCAAAGCTCCATCATTGTTTGCTAACATGTTATCCACAACAGCTTTATAAGGCAATACATTTTCAGGGCTGTGTGTCTGGACTGTGATTCATGCAGCTTTAAGTGAAAACATCTTGTGTCTCAAATTGAACACTGATTAGATATTTTATATGTAAACCAAAGTTGTTTTCTTTCCAAAAAACCCCAACTAAATGAGAAGCACAGTAGAAAACACAAAGAACAGTCCAGTTAGTTTTTGCACACGATACAGTAATAGAATAAACTCAGTGTATTTACCTGCTACATCGCAGTGGCACACAAATTCTATTGAATTATTCAGTGATTAACCCGTTCAGATCCCCATCCATTCCAATGAACGTAACTTTTCCAGCATGTCTAGACATATGATCATTTTCATCTGACTCCACCCAAATGCACAAACTAATTTGACTGGATGTCTTTAAACTAATCACAGTGTTCCGCATCTTTTAAAGTGGACTGCACAAGAGCCACACCCCCTTTCCGCAGCAACCATGGCGGCCGCGAGGCACACTTTCATCTATTAAAGAAATGTTACATTACTTATACTTATATAGGCCTATGTCAAAATATCATATGAAAGATTTCTAGGATTTGAAGGGAAATGAATAGGGAAATACTGTTTTGATTTATATTGACTCTTCTGATGTGATTTCTAATGATACAACCAGCTTATAATGTATCCTGCTGATTATGTACACTGACTCATTAATGTTTTTTGTCTCTTAAAAGGTCCAGTGTGTAACATTTAGGAGGATCTATTGGCAGAAATGTAATATAATATTCATAGGTATGTTTTCATTAGTGCATAATCGCCTGAATATGAATCGTTTTGAGACGTTTTAATGTACACACATTGTGGCTCCACTGCCCACAAATAATAAAGTATAAAATGTTTTTATTGTTAGTGATGTATGAGTGCATTTAGAGGAGAAATCCACCATCACAGTATTTTTTTGTGTGTGTTTGGAACATAATTGGGTTCTGAATGGGTTAAACTATTAAACATTTAGTGGGATCCTGCCATTAGAATGATAATGGGCTGTAAACTGAGACTGAATACTCATTATATGACAACATTGTCTGTCTTTACACTCTTCCATCCACACTGCAGTGGTGCATTTACAGTGTAAGTACGGTGAGTGTGTACTGTATATGTTGTGCTTGAAACTATGGTCAATGGTAATGCAATGCAATATAATGCCATGTTAAAGAAACAAAGGCAAGATTAAACATAACTCTTTGGTTTTGTTAATGTAATACTTTTGACTTCCCTTTACAATATAACCTATTTTATAATATATATATATATAGATATATCTAACACATTTGAAATTATGTTCATTAAAGTTCATTAAATATACTTCACAGAATAGAGTTACCTCATTAGCTTTGGTCAAATAGAAATCAAGCAGTTCACTCAGTACAGCATCTTGGTGTGGACTGGAAAGCAGCAAAAAATGAAAACCTTAATTATGCTGCACTTTTCCTCAGTGACAGTTTAAGTCATAACATGGAACAAATAAATAACTCAGGAGGAAATACCCAAAACAGTGCTACGTTGTTTAAAAAAAAAAGTACAAAACAAAGGCAGAGTTGTGTGTGTGTGTGTGTGTGTGTGTGTGTGTGTGTGTGTGTGTGTGTGTGTGTGTGTGTGTGTGTGTGTGTGATTGTGAGGCTGGGTGTGCTCAAAGGTGAAGGGGAGTTGTTATCAGCTACATCCAGCAGAGCAGCTGGCAGATGAAGGAGAGTGTGGCGAGTGGACGATGATGAGGACCACGTTTATGTCAGTCCAATTTCCTCCAGTACACTGCGCGGGGTCTCTGCATCCTGTGGAGGGAGAGAGGAACCACAGCTCCAGTGAAGTACTGAGCTATACACGCCAAACTGATTACAGCAGATTTCCACAGTAGTATTACTCAAATACACACACACACACACACACGTTTTATCTGATGCAATGTCACCACTGCCTCAGAAGCAGTATCACAGACATGGTAACCACTGAGTTGTTGGCTTTGTACATATTAATTAATACAATAAAATAAAAGGGGTGGCTTATACAAAAAAATCCACAACCCTATTCGCCCTCCAAATTCTACATTAATATTGGGGAATTTGATATTCCAACTGGTTACATTTAAAGCTGCATTCATATTATTAATTAATATGTTTCAAATATATGCAATTAGTTGTTATAGTTAAACGTAGTTTTCTTTTAAACAAATGTTTGTCTTCATTTAGTTTCTCACCAAAAGGTCTAACAAATGTGTTAAATCCATTTTCGACTAAATAAAACAATTGCTAAGCAGTGTATTGCGCCACCCACATGCTCATGTGCATGCATTTTAAAAACAAAGCGGGGACTCACTCATAAAAACATTGCTCAACAGCACTACTAGTGGTCAGAAACTCAACAGGGTATCTTTAAATCTCATTAATCAACACTTTTATAAAATGTAATTAATAAATGCATGTACAGTGAAATGAGTGGCTTAGCATGAAACCAACTATTATTTAGTTTAATTCACCCTCAAAATGTGGGGATTTGATACTACAATTAGTTGTTAAAACTGCATTAATCAATATTTATAATATTTATATGTGCATATACACTCAATTTGTCTTGTGAAAGCAGGAAAAGCACAGGTAAATAATAATATAATTGATAGTTGCATTCCTTTAAGTCCCAGTAAGCCATTGTCAGTGAGTGAGCATGCACAGTACCAGAGCCCTGGAACTGGGTCACCTAAATGGAATGCAGCCATCATTAATGTCACCACGTCTGCTCTGAAAAGAGTCTATTGGCCTACATGCTTCAAACAACTATGATATATATTTACTTCTTTGTCCATGCTGTACCTATGCTAATGTGTCACAAATCATAAATAAAAACAGACATCCAGGCTGGTAGTGGCAGAAAGAAAGAGAAGCACTTACTTTGGCATCCTAAAACAAGGTTCAGCACAAAGTAAAGAGAGGAGTTGCATCAGAGCAGTGAGACAGAAATCGTGCTTTATGTAATAAGAGGAAAACAACCCACTTCTGCACAGTGACTCCTGAAGTGTCATTTCATTTTCAGTGCAACATGTTCAGCCCAGATTTTGAAATATAAACTATGAATGATTCACCAATTATAAACTTTTCAGTCTTGGGGTCAATTTTGCTGGAATGAGGAATCCCTTGTCACCTATTATGTAGGCTAAACATCTTCATCTGCAAAGCAAATGGAGCTTAGCACCATTCAGCGCTGAGACTAACTGGTTTGTTTCTGACACAGAAGAAAAACAGCTGCAGTAAAAACAAAATTGCTAAATGTCAGCCTGAACTTCAAAGGTGTCAAATGTGGGGGAAAAACACCATAAACACAGAGACAAATCAGTTATATTGAAGAAAAACACCAGTGTACTTAATTGACAAAGAATCATAAACCATTTATTCATTATATCTATTATATACATTGATAAAATATCTTCTATTTAACGGTTTGTTTTTGTAGTGGGACACAGATGAACAATGACAGAACATATAAAACATTTTAAGTGCTTAGTCAATATCCATTTATGAGAAACTAATTTGTAAGGATAATTATTGAAAGTGTGTTTAAATGTCTATTATCATTAGAACGTAGAAAGCCAGAAGAGCCCTTAGTTAATTAGTGCAAAGAGCTAATATTTATTTAGTATTAATCCCATTAAACACCACTTACCTTGAGAGTGGGCTTGCTACTTATTTAAATAGGAAAGGTCTATAAATAATTAAAAAGATTTAAAAATAACATTTACAATGTTGAAAAGCTGTAAGGTCTTCTAGTGTGTGCTGTGTTCTGATTTTAATTATTATAACGACAACTCCTAGAAATCACAAGGACGATACCTAAGATTCAAACACTTATTATCTGAAGTGAGACGATAAATTCAAAACTGTAACTGACAAATCTACATGATAAAACATGTTAAGGAACAGGTAACACATGACTTCCATTGCATCCACTTCCCACCCATGGCTGACGTAATGTGAATCCAGTCACAAAAAACCAATGAGGGGACCAATAAAAATATGAAATATTAAACTGATTAGATGAACACCTCTTGGACGTAACAGTAACTTAAGTGTGAAGGTGATGAGTCTGGAATCTGTGTTTAAGTAACATCCGAATTCAGATTCAGTTGTTTAAACTTAAATACTCATGCTTTGGTATTTGGTATTCTGTGTACTTGAACCCTATCAGGCACGTTTGTGCACCACAGGGAGCGGACTTTCTCTGCATAGTTTGAGTGGCACAGATAAACAGAGAAAGAAGTTGGGACTTTTGTGAAGAACAGCCATCAGTTTGATTAGGATTTGTCCTGTGTAAATTAAATCTGACAGCTCAGTGAGATAAACGTGACCAGTGTTAAACCAGTGGTCAGGTGCCATCCTGATCAAATAGTGTACTGACGTCTTTCAACCACAAAAACCACAGCAGCTGGTTTCAACTGGTTTTAAATAATTAGCTGCTGGTAGTTTTGCTAAAGTTTCAGGTTCATTCTTGACCTCGGAAACAGGTCAGAAAACTCTTAAAACTCAAAAATATTCAAATATTAACAATTCTAAACACAAGGTCCACTTTAAGCTGCATGTCCCTACCATGATGAAGATCAAGTGGTTGAAAGCTCCGGGGAACCTCTAGTAAGTGGACCTCGAATTAAACATTTAAATAAACGGCATACTCTTGGGTCATGATGGCACATGATGCAAACTTGCTTTTTTACAGTGGCAATAACAGAGAGAGGTGTTCAAGTGATGCGATGAAACCAATAATAAGTGGACGAATGACAGGCATGTAACAATATATCACCACAAAATATATTATCAATACACATACTGATGACTAACTTCAGTATAAAAGGATGGTATTTCCATTTAGGTTCAATTTCCAAGAACAAATGCCTAATCCAGCCTAAATGTTTTCATCATTTACTGTAGTTTTCAATAATATTGAGACAATATCGTATCATAGCTGTCAAACTGAATAAGGAGCTGAGAATATTGTTACACCCCCCAAACCAATGACAATGACAGGTGCTCAGAGGGCAGAGAGAAAGGTGCCAGGCACTGAGGAGCTCAGCATGCAGGGTGGATAGCAGCAGCGGCGGCAGCAGCAGCAGCGATGGCAGGCAGTCAGTACACAGGCACATTAAAGTACTCATGACGGGGCTGGGGGAGAGAAACGCACACAGCTTAGAGAACAAGGAAACACAGTGCAGCAGGCGTGAGGTAAAGACAAACTACTCTCACCACTGTTCCGCCTTTATATATGAGAGGAATACTTGGGGGGGGGTAATATTCATTTTCTTGCCAAGAGTTAGATGAGAAGATAGATACTATTCTCATGTCTGTATGAGACATATGACACTAATAACAGGAGTCTCTTGCTTAGTTTAGCATACATACTGGAAACAGCTAGCCTGGCTCCATCCAAAGATTTAAGAAATTAACCTACCAGCACATCTAAAGCTCACTAATTAACGTGTTATATCTTGTTTGTTAATTCTATAAATAAACGAAAATACAAGAGCAACAATTTGTGGTTTTACGAGGAGTTATGTGCTAGAACAACACAGAGACTCCAGCAAGTCACCAGCCAGGCCAAGAAACAGTTTGGTCATGTATCACCCTGTAAAACCACAAATGAAAGCGGTATCAATCTTCTCATCTATTCCCTAAAATGTTGGAAAATGTTGCAGGATAGTTTGATGGGGTATTTCACTTTTCCTACTCAGTCAAACAAACTCATAGTGGTTTCTGTGTCTCTGTTTAGTTTGAAGGTAAACTTAACTGCTTCATTTAGCTCATATTCTGAAGGTCTTTGGGGAAATTCACCCACCAGTCTGTCTTACTTAAGTAATGGTGTGTACTGTGTCATTTTCACTTCTTATTTAATTTATCTGTGGACACACAAAGTGTCGCCTATCCAAACTACAGATATGTATTCTTATAAAGCATCTGGTGGAGACAGCATCAATGAAACGTTACACATGAGTGGAAAACAAAGACAAACAGACGAAGACCGACTTCAATACAAACGTGTATTGGTGGCTGTGGAGAGACTAACTAGTGACACGAGACCAGGAACACGGTCTTAACCAGCAGGAACTGAGCTACAGACAGACTGATATACAGTAACAAGAGTGAGACTAGTTCTGACTAGAGGGGTCTAGTGGTATGGATGGCCTAAGTTCACAGACAGAGTAATCACCTCAGCAGGCCTAATTCTGGAAAAGACCAGAGGACTCAGAGACCATATTTGGGACCATCACACCTGCGAGGCAAACATTTTTATAAAGACAAAAATAAACAAAACAAACCATTGGTCAACTTGGATCAAGTTAAAATCTCTCAGTAACCTACAGCATGTACAGTGTGTGCTCGGGGAGCAGAAGCTTAACTGTCCACAATGCCCTCTTCACGGGGACGTCTCTGCTCAATTTATCTCTGATGTCTCACATGCAGAGGTGAACTGAGCAGGAAGTCTTCCGAGGCATCATTATTCTAAAAGAAGATCTGCTTGCTGGCACTAAAGTAATGGCCCGCTCCGGAGAAATGTTTCATTAAAGGCTTATTAAAATAACTTCTACCAAATCCCCTATGGTATGTTCTCCATGTAATTACTGCACTGTGCACTTACTAATGCCTTCAAGCCAGAGGCACACATTCAAAAGGTGCCCCCAACTCAACCCCGGCTTTATTTCCACTAACTTATATGTATATAATGTTTAGAAGTTTTAAAGGATGACAATAACTTAAAATCAGGGAGTACCTGTCAGTCCATCCATTAAACAAACCATCTGATACCCCAGAAATATGTATTCTGATCACTTGAACATGTGACATGTTTTAAAAGTTGTAATAATTAGCCTGATTACTAACTTACACTGACAATGACTTTAATTACTAAATAGTTTCTCCCTGTGTGACATTGTTTAATTTGATCTGATTGCTCTCCTGATTATAAAATGACCATGATGAGGAGGCACCATAATAATATCCAATCAGCAATAAGCTATTTTCTTTGCTTGTATTCTGTTCTTATATTGTGGCTGGTGATTATCTTTATGTTTGATTTCTGTCAACAAATCCATGAAAACACCCAGGCCAACAGTGAACTGATCTAACTAACCAGTACTTTGTGTTTTGACAAAGCTTGATACATCTTAGTCCTCAGAGCTCTGTTCTTCTCCAAAACCTATTATAAAACACTATAAACACTTCAGTGAGCAAGCCACACTGTTGTTACCGCATTACCATTAACATGGGCGCTGTACTCTGTACTTTATTTTCCCACATTACACCATCCTGCTGCGGGAAATACTTGCTAGTGCTTACTCTTGTTTGAGTAATGTGTGCTAAAAACTACAGTTCCCAGCTTTTATAAAAATAATTGAGCCTTTAAACAAAATTAAACTATATGTTTGTGACCCGTTTTACAGATTTATCTCTTAAGTAGGAACAGATGAGCTTGAGGCTTTGTGTAACAGACAGGCAAAGGAAGCCAGAGAGCATTGAGAGACAGATTAACGTGTTGCTGGTTTTGGTATTTTCATGGGCTTTGTTGAGAATACGAAAAATGTAGAACACTATCCTTATCCTTTAATGTTTTAATATCAGAAGATGATGACAAAATTTTAAAAAATGAACGTAAAAAACCTGCGGAATGAATATTATTAATCGTAAAATACTGGTTTGATATGTTATTGTTCAGAAATGCTTTTCCAGCATCTCAAGACAACATACACAATGATTAATCTGAGCATTTTCATTCAGTGCTGTTAGTAAAAACAATTCACACAGGCAGCATAGCTCTTTCACTTATCCATTAAAATAGTTACTGTTTAAAGGAAATGTATGTTAAAATTTAAGTGAAATTCCAATGAAGAGTCACTTTAAAAAAATTGAAGTTGCCTCCATGAAGAAGAAAATTCAAAGAAATCAATTAATGTAAAACTAGTTTAAACTAACTAGTTCACCAAAGTGTTGGATTATACTGCCTGTTAGTGAAACTGAGTATTCAGACATGTTTTAAACAGTCAGGTTTGAGTTCATGCCTGTTATGACCCTTCAAGTTGTGTCATGTATTTTCACTCAGAGTTATGAGACAGTCATACTGACAGAAGTACATGCAGGTAGAAGTCCACAGCACGCACAACTGGAAACCCATGCTGACTGACTGACTGCACCAGTCTAGTAGTTACCAATTGCCTGGATGGAGGCATGGATGGACTCTAGACCCATTACAAGATCTCCTCATTTGGCAAACTTCCCCAGTCTTCACCCTGGCTCTACAAATACAGAATTGAGCCAATCAGAGACCTCTCTCTCTCTCCCTCTCAGGGTAAATGTGGATTGGCACACTTGAGGTTTTGACCCCATTCCTTCCAAAGTGAGAATATCAACTAAATGGTTTAAAATGGCTACTCCCTTCATAACTGCATACTCTTAAAAGGAAAAGGTCTACATTAAGAACTTACCATAAGCCTTTTAGGATCACAGTACAGTATGTTCTCTACAGTGCAGCTGCCTGATGGTCCTGCTGTATATCAACCAACAGCTTCACAGTTTGTCCTCAGAGATTACAGACTTGGCTGGGTAGCAGCTGCCTCACAGCTAATGGTTATGGGCCACATTTGGACTTCCTAATGCTTCCAGACATCATTTGCTTTCGGCCACATTGTATTCTCTGTTTGATAACATGAGTCAGTTGAGTTTGTCAAGTCTGGTGCATGGTGATCATGTTTCACCATGATATATGTCTTCCTATCCATATGTACTGCACATGGAACAATATTAAAAAGATGAGGAACGACTCAAGTCAAATTTAGGAAAAAAATAAATGAAGACACAAAGTGTGGTATATTGCCAACAGCTTTTTTGAAGGTTGAATTTATCTTTAAATTTATGTTTTATGCGCCAATTGAACTGCCGATATTGGCTTATCTCAATATATCTGTATCAGTGGATGTAGAAAATGTGCAAAATGCTAAATTTCTTTAGTTTAAGTTGTATTTTTTTTAGGTTTATACTGCAGCATGTGTTACCTTTACTCATATTTGGTTATTTTTAAACTGCAAAATATCCTGCCATGTATATTTAACACAAATAACCGAATCTGAGGAACCTTTGCCAAAAATTGTATGTAAAAAAAAAAAAAACAGTTGGCCCTCAAAATCCAGTATTGGTGGACAGTTCACATCACCTATCTCCATTGGATGTTAATGGTATGTCAGCAGTGGCCTGATTTTTCTTCCCAGAACTCATTAGCAGCGGCCTCACTAACTGACTAAATGTTGAGCAAACAGATCCAGCAATCGCACCTGCCTGCTGGCACTGATTAGGTCGATAATAGACCACTGTGTGCTGCCAAACACTATTTACTATATATGTTTTGCTACTTTTACATGTTTTAAGATATAAAAATTAAAAACTACTAATTCACTTAAATAACTGCTGTTACATATTCAAGACCTCAAATATTTGGTTTATATAACATGAATGGACTGAAGTGACAGAGAGCACTGAAACACAGCTGTGGTGTTGTGACCAGTGTTTGTTGGTGTACTGCTGAGTATGCTTTTGGTCAGGATCATAATTGCAGCGACACTGTGTTTTTCTACTGTAATTATGCTCCCGCTATATGAAATGCTAATCTAGGCCAGAAGTGTTTGTGTGGTCTCAGCAGTGCAGACAGTGAGGCTTTGTTTGTGGGCTGCAATCTGATCTCCTGTCACTTCAACTATCAACCATCAAATCTGAGAAGACTGTGAAGAATGTGTGTGTGAAAGTGGAGAATCAAATCATTTGAAATGTTTTAGTGACACTGAAGGGGTGAAAAACATTTTTGAATGTGATAAGTAATGTGAGTAACAACAGAACTTCAATCAGTGATATTCCTTTTAGTTTTAAGGATACATCTTGTGACCAGCACATGTGGTCTGATTCTGAGCAAAGAATTACATTTCAATGTCATTTCTGCCACCAAAACATGGGGTCTTTATTTAATGGCTCACTGGAAAATGCTGAAAATTAAGCATACATATTCTCTAATAATACAGACTTTACTCAAGTACATCTATTCCTGATGAAGAGTTATTGGTTAGTGCCTGGGATTACAGATATATCAGGGTTGAAGAAAAAACACACCAGCAACTTCAATATTTATTGAAGTGTTTTTCCGACACTTGAAATGTTGCTGTTGCTGGTATGTTGTTTCTGCTGGCTTTAGCGTTGTATTGATAAATCTACAGTACATCTAAGGCTACTGATCTAACACTACAGCGAGGGTTGTTTGGGTTTTTACAAACTGTACCTGCAAACAGACGCATCTGAAAGTCTATATTCTGAAAATCACAATAGTAAAGAATACACAAGAAAAGAGAGAGAAAAAATGTCAGCTGAAATCAAGAAAACAAAACAGAAGACAATAAAGAACTGTGAAGCCAGTGAAAGAAAAATCACAAACAATAAAACATTTACTACAGTAATACAGTATATTCATGCAGCTAGCAAATAAAATGAAAGGGCAGTCCTATTTGGCCCCCTCCACTTAATAGAGCAGTGAGGCAAGTCAGACAGATAAAGTAACTCAGTTATAGCTGTTCTGATTAAGGTCGTTGAGTTCATTTTGGAGAAATAAGGTCCATCTTTCTTTGTTCTGACATAACCCGAGTATTATTTTTAAGAATTACGTACAATGAGTGACTCTAGAAAATGAACCTCTGTCAAAGCAGGTGTCACTTTCTGGAGGAAAATCTAATTTAAGTGAATTTGAAGTAGTAAAAAGTTTTTACTTTTATGTGATATACACACATTTTTACAAAATCAAACCATGTTTGATACCATTTATTGTCATATTTTTTCTGCAATTGCCACTCAATGCATTTACATTCAGTAATTACGTATAGTAGTTTTCAGTTAGTGGCGGAGTACGCCACTCCTGTGCTTGATTCAGTTTACCTTCACATGCAAGAGGGATTCACAAATGGTTCAGCACCCAGAGTTACTGTTTTATCTCACTGATACTTTACTGTTCCCTCTCTTACAGGTGTATCAGAGCCATATGAAGTTACTGCTAATGCTAACCCAACATTTCCTACTGCCGCTAGTTCACATTAAAAGCATTCAACTGGCAAAACAAGGGACGGCTTTTATTTTGAAGCAGTCGCAGAAATCACAAAGTATCTGTCACTGTGGTTAACACTGAATGCAGTTGTTCATCAAAGCTCTTCTTATCAGTCGATTCATTTTAAATATTAGTGAAAATATCGCAAAAAGGTGCAGTGGAAACAGACTTATCAAAAAAATAATGTAACTGTACTAGCTGTTACAACCAGTAAACATGTCACCAAATCAGCCACGACTGAAATCTTAAGGATTATACATTTAATCTGAAGCTTTGATCTGAAAAAATCACAAATGTCAACAGTTACAATGGAGAGTGAGGACAGATTATTAATAAGATAAGATATTCCTTTATTTATCCCCCTTAATGAAGTAGGAGTAGTAGTAGTATGAAAACATTATGTTTGCACATTAATTTCATTAAGTGCCTTACCTCCTGTAGCAAGTCAGCCTGCTCAATGGCCTTCAACACGTTCTTTTTGGACGTCTCCTGAGCTTCCCCACCCAGAAGGAACTCATCCAGAATGAAGTAAGCCTTCTCAAAGTTGAAAATAATGTCCAGCTCACAAACCTGTTGTTTAGAAATGAAAGAACACTAATTATGAATGAAAACTACTTTGAGTCCAGGTTCAACAGGTGGCATAGATACAACACATATTAAAGAATAAGCAGAAACGTACACTGCCAAAGTATTTGTCCAGCAGCTCCACATATCTGTGGATGATCTCCAGTGTGATGAGCTCGTTGTCCTGATCCTCTATGGCACAGCAGAAGTACAGACTGGCATATCTGCAACACAATGACGAGCCAGCATGACAACAGCATTTCAAAAAGAATCCTTCATTGTGAAAACTGCAACATCAACTTGACAAAGTAAGCAGAAGAAGAGCTGACTTTATGCATTTTTATCACTTAGACAGGATCTCCAAGTGATACATACTGTCTCCCAGCTCACTGCAATAGTGCTGAGAGAGCGCTTCTCTGTTATTATTATAGATCGCTCATTTACTGTGTACAGGGTAGTCATTTAAAAGCCAGAAGCCGGATGCAGAAGGCTGTATGAGTTAAGCCTCATTCTGCCATAGTTCTTTATCCCTGATAATCCCTGAGGCACTCTTTAAGCATGTGATGATTGGCTAATAAAGGAGCTGGTCAGTTGATCCCTGACAACCAGCGAGGCAGGAGGGCACACTGGACTAGGCTGTAGATTTCGACAGGAACTTGTTGGCATTATCGATTCCTGTTACTTGATCAGCTGTTTCCTTTATATTCTTAGCTGCACTGCGTCCAAGTGAATGCAAGGCACAGCCATTCTCAGGAAACACAAAGGGTTCAGTTAAGTTCAACACAGAGAAGTGATGCAGCATTTTTATTGTAGTAGACTCATATAGGAAGAGGAAGTTAAGAGCTCAAACCTTTTAGTGCAAATGGCTTACTCTTTGTAGAGAAAGTTACTAATTTAATGTACCTCTCAGTGTTGCAAAGTTAAATACTGTGTTATACATGGATTTATTTTTATTTATTTTATTTTATTTGTTTTATTGTCTGCTTTACGTGAGGCACGGAGCTTGGAGCCTTACTTGGAGTCACATTTTCAATATCAAAGTGATGTTATTTGGCAAAAATGTCCACCGGCAACAGATTTAGCCTTATCTCTGATCCCAGATTGATTCTGACACAGGGTCAGATGGGATACAGTACACATCCTAAAGGATTTGTATTGCTAAAACCTGTCTTCATTTGGACTGGCTGATCATAGTTGATAGTAAACGTATAGTGGGATATATTTGGATTTTTGACTGATCAGTATTTTCTGACATATCATAGACAAAATAATTTATCAATAAATGCAGGTTCATTGAAAATGAAAATAATTGTGAGTTGCAGCCCTAGACATGCTTTACACCTTCATAAAGACAGGCTGTATGTTGAAACTCTTACTATAACCGTGTGCTACATTTCAACATACAGGTTGTATGTTGAAATCTAAGTTGCATTACACCTCACTACTACTGTGTGCTCAGATCTCATCTTTCCAGAGTCTTTAACAGTCTCAAACAACAGCCAGTTATTGTCTTTGTTGAATTAAAATCTATTTCCAGTGGGCGTCCTAAGGCTCTGTTTGCTGCAGGGCAGACCTTGTACCCGCAAATCTGACCTGACACCTTATCATTTTAATTTCTTCTCACTACAGTTAGTATGTCAAAAAAAATTTATTTCCAAGTGTCAGTGGCCCTTCATATTTCCTTAAAATCATAGCATCTCCTAATATTACTAATATTGAATCATGTTACTTTTATTTCAAAATCAAATTACTTGGACCTCTTTCCATTCACCTTCAGCAAATTGTTCATATTTGGCACAGACTTATTACATCTACACTCAGTCAGCTGTATCCGGGAACTCTCTTTTGACAGTGTGAGTAGGTAGGACACTCTCTTTAATCAGACAGGCTGAGAGCTGAGAGCTACACAGACCTAAGGAGAAAAGGATATACAAGATATTCTGACTAATGCAGCACAGCTAGATCCAGCACTTATTTAATGACACTTTTATAGATTAATAGGATGTAGTATGAGTTGTAGGCAAAAAACAGACAAATAGGAAAAATGGCAGAGTAAATACTTTAAACTATTTAAATTCAAGAGGTAAACAAACATCTGTGTAGTTGTGCAATGGTGCAAAGTTGCTGACTAGGCAGCACCTCGAGTGTTGTGTTTGTCTGTCCCTGTTGGGTCAGCCGGGTTCACAAATACTCTGCCTGCCCGTCCGTTGGCACAGCAACAGGATATAATGAGGCAAAACATGTGCGCTCCTTTTTTGTTGTAGTCTGAGTGCAGTCATCTCATTGATAACACTTAACCCTGATTCTTCAACTGAACAGTGTCCATGAATGATTGGTCTATGAATTGCCCAGGGAAGTGTGAACAATTCTATTCTGTGAGAGTTCAACCGGAAATCATTTTGTTCATAAACAAGTCCCATCTCTACCCACCTTTTATATACTATCTTGAGGTCTCTCCACTCCAGAAAGCTGCACATTTTGGGCTTTCGAGCCAGGACCGTCTGCACCAACTCTCTGGTGATCTTCTTTTTCTCCTTATCAGACAAAGGCACGTACCACTTCTGAAGCCTGAGCTTGCCTTGTCGACTGAACAGAAGCATGAACTGCATCTGAAATGAAGAGATGAGAGAAAACATGAGGAGCTGTGAAACACAATGATTGACGAGAGGAAGGAGTGGGTGGTTAAAGACATCCGCAGACAAAAAGCACTCAAAGGAACACATCTTATTACTTTTTATGTGAAACTGGATGTAGATATCAAGAGTCAGACAGCTTCTGACAACTTGGGCAAAATTGAAGAAACTATTAGTTAGTGTAAGACCGGAGGTGCTCAAGAAATTAACAAGATGCAAGACAAATTAGATTTGATCAAGTCAATCTCATGAAATCAATACAATCCCCAAAATATAACGTTAGTTGTTAAGCTATTTGAGTATGGTGTTTGCCGCCATGTGTTAAAGATAAACAGCGCACTGTTTGATTTCATGCTCAAGTCCAGCCTGTTTGACAGGGACAACACTTCCAATGTTTATAATTCAAGACACACTGAGGCAAATAACATGACACTGTGATTTATAACCAATGTATAGACCGGTTCTGTACAGTTATAACAGATATATGACTGAAATCACCATCTCTCCACCGTTGTCAACACAACCCAACCGAAGTACCGTTAACACCGTTATTCAGCGGTTAGCATTAGCCTGTTCAGACACCGCCTAGCCTGTCTCAAATACGACATGTGGCCAAGCGTGTATGTGTGTATACATTTTAATACAACATGAGAAACAATACACACTCAAAACTACTTACCTTGAATGACAACACTCTACAGTATTCTCCTCAGAAGAAATGAACCACCCAACGCCACCCTGAAACATACACGGACCAGTTGGCATCAAGCTTTCTGATTGGCCAGTGGAGCGCCAATAACGTTGTTCATTGGCCAACATAGTTGCGATAGTCCCCGCCTATCGAACGCTTTAACTCAATACGGCGGATGTGATTGGCTGCTATATACGTCAATCAAACTACATGCAGCCGGTTAGTTCCGCCCATTGAAGCATCATCAGTAGCAGCACCAGCTGAATGTTTAAATATAGGCGGAATAACTGGGAGTGATGGATAACTTTAACGCAGCTGGAAGTAAGTGTAAGACTCTACATGGCAAATAGTGTTTTATATGATGGTGGACAGCATTACAAATCATACAGGCATACATATGTTCTGAAAATGGGCAACACACACTCATAACAAAGGGCAGTTCTTACCATGCCCTGGTACCCTCTTGAACTCAGGCACAGGAATCACATCAGAGGGTTTTAGAGTGGACACTGGGTCACTGACTTACTACCCCACTCACTCACAAATCAGTCGTTTACATCAGTGGTTCCCTAACCCTTTTCCTTAAGGGAACCCCTTTTCTATAATCCATAGAACTGACGACCCCTGACTAAGATGGATATTTCATATTATATTCAAAACGAACCCACATAGTGAACCTGTGTAAAAGTGAGGCTTGGTCATTGTTCTATTAAACAGTTTACTTAATTTACTTTACATTTACATTTCTTTACAGACATGAATGCAATGCTGAGATATAGGCCTGCTGTGTGTATTTTTAGGATTGATGTCACTTTAATGTCTGCACACAGTAAATATGAAGCTACAGCTAACAGCTGGTTACCTTAGCTCAGCATAAAGAGTAGAAACAGGAGGAAGCCTGGCTTTTGCCAAAGTACAGAAATATTTTGAAGCTCACTAATTTGCACGTTATAACTCATTTGTTGAAATTTTATGCACTATGCCGGACTATTTTTTGGCGGGGACTTCCTGAAGCTCCTATTGGTTGCCTGGCAACTGCTCCCTAGAAATACCGGTGCACATAACCTCCAAAAAAAAGCAATGTGTCATGTTTACACTTTGGTTTTGCTCTGTTTTGCTAAACTAAACTAAGCAAAGCTAAGCTTCTCCTGGTTCCAGCTTAATATTTAGCAGACAATCTTCTCGTCTATCTGTTGGCAGTTCAGAAATCTTCATTTGGTGGCGTTTCCAAGCAAATATTGATATATGTGATTGTTTGTGATTTAATGAGCATATATTTCTGCCACCCTCTGACCACCCCATGAATATTTCTTTAGATCCACTCCTGTGCATGATGTTTTAAAATATTAAAATATTAACAATGTATCACCTGTGATTGCTGTGAATTGAGTATTCGCCTAGACAATGTCTAACATGTGAGCCATGTATTGAAACACATGAGCAGGTGGTAATGTTGACAGCTGATGGCATTTGAGACGCCGCTGCCATAAAGAATGATTCTGACTCTTGATTTATGAAGTGGTGATATGAACCACAGGTGCAGTACAATAAGACAAGCCTAAGGGAGGTGTCTAAGGGCCAGTATTAGATAAGGCCATCGCAGGCCTGTGGATTACAGTAATCCTATCCACTAGTGTTGGGTATCACACACACGTCGCATTCCAGCACAACTGAAGAGGAAGATGGAGGTCACTGCTCGATGTGCTGCTGTGCTGCTCCTCCTGTTTCTGTCTCAGGGTAAGTCACTGTGCACCTGCATGAGGGATATGATTAAATCATAATGCCCTCTGTCTGCCTTAAAAATCAGGAATATTCTCAATGTTCTGCCTTCTTTATTGTATCTTTTTGAAACCATGCTAGGAAAAGTGCCACACAGAAATGTTACTGCATTAAAATGTGGACTTGACCATGTTTCATTATGAAGAGTTGTATTCATAAGGGCCAGTTAGTGGTTAATGCTTGTGATAATAAGTTCAATCAGTAAAATAAATAAGTTTATTTTTTCTTCAATATTATGTATCTCAATTCTGGTCACATACATACAAACCATGCAGAATGATTGGATATGTTTGTCACAGTTGTGTTAATCACATGGAAGTACCTACAAACAATTCATAGATGAATTTGTAATGATCCTCTTTCTTCTGTAAAATTTGGTTTTAGCTTTCCCATTTAATTTTCCATCTGCCTCTACATTTCATGCACCTGTTGATGTGGTACAGCCCTGATCACTGTTCACTCCCAGGAGGTAAGAGCCCACTAACAAACCACTTATAAAAGAAGTCTGAAAAGTGATTTTAACTCTGGATTAACTCCTCCTCGTGTGCGTCCTTCAGGAGGAAGAGGCTGCCCAGGAGGGGGCGGTTGCCCAGGACGAGGAGCTTCAGGAGGAGGACCAGGAGGAGGTGATCGAGACATGGACGCGGAACATGAAAGCTTGTACCTGTGACTGTGAATCTGCTGATTCACCCACACGTATCCCCACTGTCATCCCACCGACCTCACTGCCGCCGCCACCTCAGGGTCACTCACAGAACTGCATGCCAGGTGAGGTCACATGACCTGGGTTGACTTTTAGCCCTCTGTGTGTATGTCAGATGTCTGTAATTTATTAGTAAGTTTTTTTTACAAGTGATAAAAGGGATGCACATGATGTGAAGGACGTTGACACAGTGGGGAACATCACACACGTGAAGATTAATGATGGGCAGCATTGTATCCTGTGGATTATTCCGGTGTCCTGTGCACTCAGAGAGCTCCAGCAGGTGTGATGGATCACACAGCTGATGGTAGCTGGCTGTGTCCTTCATGCACTCCACCTAATCTTGGCTCCGTCTCTGCCGTGGTGCACAATCACCTACTATGATCTTGACATTTTTCAACCACGTTCTTACTTACTAAGGGCTGGGCTCGGTTATAGGGGTGGTAACGGTTTGGGTTAAAGAAATGAACAACTGTGAGGAAGAGGCCTGGAAGGGCAAACGCTGTTAGGTAATCTCATTACCTGTGCAGGAATGTGATGAGCAGATTAGGGAGCTCAAAATAGGGCATGCCCTTCACCTAACAGCATGATACTGGGCAAAGCAGCACACATCAGATGATGTCCCGATCATCTTCTTCCGCCTTATTAGGCACGCATTCGGAGTATCAGATCTTAGTGTAAGCTAGATCACCACGAGCAGGAAGGATGGTCGCAATCCTTTATCAGAGAATAAAATCATGATGCCATTCAAGTGTTACTTGGACATTATACTGTCTGTTGTTGTCAACAATACAACAATTAATGCAAATGTGACCAAATCAAGACTGAATCTCACCAGTTTCAGAGTTTCAGTTCCACAGTAAAGCGTATGTCTGTCCTCCTCAGAATGCCCTTATCACAGAGCCCTTGGCTTTGAATCTGGATCTGTGACATCAGAACAGATCAGTGCATCCAATCAGGACCAGTACACCGGCTGGTACTCCTCCTGGATACCCAGCAAGGCTCGTCTTAACAACCAAGGCTTTGGGTACGTCATGAGAACCTAGTTCTTCTTAATTTTGTAAATGTGAATGTACCATAACAAAAGCTAATTTCTTTGTTTTTTTAGGTGTGCATGGCTCTCCAAGTTCAACGACCAGTATCAGTGGATCCAGATTGACCTGAAGGAGGTGGGTGTGGTGTCTGGCATCCTCACCCAGGGCCGCTGTGATGCCGATGAGTGGATCACTAAGTACAGCGTCCAATATCGCACTTTGGAAACCCTCAACTGGGTCTATTACAAAGACCAGACAGGAAACAACAGGGTAAGCACATGAAATAGCAGTCAGTATCGGGCTGTGGAGAGTCTATGCCTCTTTGTGCAAGAAAACGCAAGTAAATAAGATTTTATTAATATGAAGATAATATGAAGATGAACAGTTGTCAAAAACAGTAAAAAGGACTATAAATGTGAAAGGTAGGAGTTTAGCAGCACAGTCATGACTGCTGATTCAGTTTGAATCTTTGAGTCTGTCATTGATGCTGCTACAATGTAAAACTTCCTAAAACAACCTTGAGGGTGTTGTTCACTCAGACTATGTTCACACTGCAGGCACAAGTGGCCCAAATCAAAGATTTTTTTATTTTGCTCATATGTGACTCAGATCTGTGAACAGCACAAATCACATGGAATCTAATCTTTCATATATACGACCATATCACCACTTTCATATGCTTTCACACTTGCAATGTGACCTCATATCAGAATACATGTGACTTTTACATCACTGTAGAATGACCTTTGTCATGCTGGTCACTTCAGGACCTTTTCCGAACCTGTGTTCAGGGTCAGTATCCCAAATCCTCCCTGAAATGTTTCACCGCTGTAGCAACACACACGGATCATTTGACCATGCCATTTAATTAAGGGAATACAACGATAGACAACCCCACAATACCTGCTTTTGTGCAGGAGATCAAGGTCAAGGTCACACTCTAAGCTGACATTTTGCTGCATTTCAGTAGGCTTCTGCATCTGTCAAAAGAAATCACTATTAATGAAGCTGTAATGAAAAAAGTTGTTGATTTATATTTACCCCATTTAAATAAACCATAACCAATAAATAGCCTATTGCCGCTGACAGTCTTCTTCTGTTAATCATGCTTACTTTGGTCACGCTGACTCAGTGGTCCCAGCATGTGTGTGTGAAAATGAAAAAACTGTGTGAAAAAACTGATAAAATTGTGTGGCTGAAGGGCCGCTTTTCTTAAAGGTGCCCTTCACACACGCTTGGAAGTTGGAACCACAATGTGTGTCTAATATGATTTTTCTACAAAAAGTATAATTTCCCCATTAAAATCCTTAAAAAGGCATCTACTCCTTCTACCTCATTAAATATACCAGAATCTCTGAATATGCAAATGTTGTTTATTTCTAAAGTTTTCCTGCTGGACACAAGATGTCTCCTTCTTCACTGTAAAGTCCATTCTCAGTGAATGTCCACTGGTGGCTTCAGGTTTCTACATCACACTGTAAGAGTTGCATACTGGACCAGGACTGACCTCCAAACTATTTGTGATGTCACAAATCATGCTGGTAGGCCCCGCCCCTTAAAAACCTACAGCACACTGTAGGAACAAGAAGAAAGAAGATTTTTGAGTGGAGGGGGACTTTAATCTTTCGTTTAGTGTATTGTATAGAATAATCTCAAGGTGACCTGTCCTTTTTTGGTAAGGGGACTGACATGATTGGTGAATTAATCAAGTAAATAGAGAGAAAAATAACGGACGTCCTCTGATTCCAGCTTGTTCAATGTAGGATTTGCTGCTTTACTGTTTTTTCTGTTTTATATCATGGTACACTAAAAATATCTTTGGAGTTTGGACTCACTGAATTAGTGAAAATAGAGCAAATCAATCCAAACAGTGAAAGAACGTCATATGGGATCCACAAGTCGGAAGTGGTTTTTATATATATAATAGGTATGAACCACATAAGAAACTGATTTCTGCACCATTCAAGCAGAAATTAAGCATCATCAGCTGAGCAAATAGATCCCTATGACCATGAAGAAAATGATCATAACAAAGTGAACTAGTTTATCTTTATATGCTGTTTACTGTCTACTTTCAGGTCTTCTATGGGAACTCTGACCGCTCCTCTATGGTACAGAACCTGCTGCGCCCCCCCATCGTAGCTCGCTATATCCGCCTGCTGCCGCTGGGCTGGCACACCCGCATCGCCATGAGGATGGAGCTGCTGATGTGCATGAACAAGTGTACCTGAAGTGCACTCAGCATGCTTTTTCCTCACTCCTTCCTTCCCCTGCTCAACCTACCGCTTGCCAAAACGGGGACTTTGGTCCAGCACTGAAAGATCCATCATATCTTCACCTCTTTGACATGTCTGTTTCTTTGGTGAGGCTCAAAGCAAACTAAGTCTGGGCAGGAGGACATGTTTGGCAATTGGACACCTTCCGCAATGCATACAGGGGATTCCAGTTTAAAAAATTGGAAGCTTCAATAAAGCTACAGGAGTAAAAGAAAAATTTAATTAATTATTCATCAACTTTCTTTGAATCAAACACTAATAAAAAAGATTCTACAAGTTACTGAGTCCAATCAAATGAGTTTGTTTTATTTGAGATTTACTGTTACATATGTAAACATGAATATTCTAAAATTGTTAAGCATTCATTTGTGGGTTTATGTTCTCATGTAAATGCTCTGTTGAAAAAAAAAGCAGATAAACACTGACTATGCTACTAATTTGTGTCTGTAATAAAAGCACAAACGTAATACTTGATTTCATTTAAACAGTTGATAAACATCTTCTGTTATAAATATTACCAAACAAGTAGTCACACATCAGTATTAATATAATACACAGTGCTCCTTCAGCAAAACAATAATCCAAAGAGAGAAATGTATTGTGTCAAATACAGTGTGCACAGTCCTTACAGAGGCACAATACACAATACGATACGGTCATGTTTGGACTCAGTGTGTGACTGTGGGAGCCTCAGGCCCCGTGTTTCAGTCTTCACACACTGTGCACATAATGAACATGAATCGAGGAAGAATTTACAGAGTCAGAGCAATATTGCTGAGCCACACAGTCTCTTCAAAGTGCAACATTAAAAAGCTTAGGATTTATTTCTGCCAAGCTACTTCCATGGCACTTTATCCCAGACAGAAAACAATGTTACAGTACAGAGCCTCTGCCCCCATTGTGGTTCCATATTAAGATTTCTCAAAAGCTTGTCCCAAGCGGCTCACTATGTGCAATCAGTTAAAAATACACTAGTGCAGTGATTCCCAACCAGGAGTACATGTAGCTGAGGGGGTATTTATGCGGTTGTAAGGGATTACATAGAAACACTGTGGGGGAAAACAGAATGTATAACTTGATTCAAATAATGTCCACATATTGCATCAGCTGTAATACCTGAATATTGGTTATGTGTTGTGATGGAGAATGTTCAAGCCAGCAGAAAGGTCTAAAAAAGTAACCTAAAAGTATCAGTTGAAATAGATAAAAGTGATGGATAACCAGATCAAATGGGTAGCTGAAGGTACTGGACATGGTTAAATTAGCTAACCAACAGTTGAAATAGCTAGCATAAAAGTAATGGACAAATGGTGAACAGCTAAAAACACTGGATAAACAGTTGAAATAGTTGGCTAAAAGAAGTGGGGAAATGGTTGAATCAGCTAAAAACAATAGATACGTGGTTAAAATAGCTTATGTAATGAATAAACCTTTCAAATAGTAGTTAATGGATAAACTGCTAGTACTAGATATGGTTGAAACACCCTGCTACTCCAAGTGGGAGCAATGCAAACGCAAACAAACACTGACAGTTCAACTGCATGAAAAATGACCGCAATAATATACACTCTTATATAACAGTAGTGTTAAATAACATCCAGTTTATAATACATTCAAATGAACTAGGTCTAGATACAGGGTTGGGGACCACTGCACTTGTACACCCAGAATGGCTTTTGTGTTCCTCTAGCTGCTGTAAAAATGACATAAAAGCAATGATTAGGGGAAAAAAACTTTCCAATTCATGTTACATAAATAACATTTTTTAAAGCAGTTACTCTTTGTATTATATTTTAGATGTGCGTGTGCATAACTTGAACTGATTAAACAAGTAGAACCACTTGGAAGTTGCTTATGTGAAATCTGTAAGTAAGAAATGAGCAACAAACAGACTTCCTTGAATCCTGGTAGTTATCACGTCACATCTTTTCCATTAACTGTATCTTTGTAGTTGGCAGCAGGGCACCATATCAAGGTTTTATTACTGAATAATTCATCCGTCATAACACTTTTACATAAATAAACATTTCGGTAAATCATTTTAGATTACATTACAACCAATAGGATTGTCAGTATAGTCTGTTCTCTTTGTAATGATTGAGGTGTCACCATAGTTTTAATTGTACAACATTTGTTTATAATATATATGAAAATGATGATTTACACATATTGTGGATGAAAATCAGTGCCTAAATGTTAGTTAGTGCAGTAGATGCAGTGCTTCATTATCTCCTACAGAGGGCGATGTGGGTTAGGATTTCTGTCTGTTTATGGCACCATAGTGTCTAAAATGGCTGCATTAGAAAAAGACATAAAAACCTAAATATCCTAAAAAAGAACAGATAGATTTAAGCTTTATAGATTGTCGGTGGTAACTCAGAAAAATTGCACTACAGCGATATTTTCAAGAACAAGACTGCTTTGATTTGCAGTTGCACACTGAGCGCCTGTAACCAGTATGACAGAGCACATCCAAAAGCAAGACAGCTTGGACGAATAGTTACAATCCTGGGTGAGATGAACACAATGCAAAGTTACTGACATTACCAATCTCTATTGTAACAACTGATAAAACTTTATTTGTTCAGAATGCCTTAGTTAGTCTTAAGGAAATACTACGCAGTAAAATGTACTATATTTCTATATTGAATAGAAACAAAAATACTTACACTTAAAATCTACACTTTATCTATCCATTTATATATATTTAATTTGTAATATATTTACTTTATAATACAAATTATAATTAGAATTACAGAAGTAATAATATAAATGTCTATCAAACATGGAAGCTTTAAAAAAAATGAAGACATAAAAAGGCTTTTGGCCTGTTTGCAAGCAGTGTTTCAAACTGAAGGTTTGGTATCTGTGATTTTTTTTACGTGTGTGTGTGTGTGTGTGTGTGTGTGTGTATTCAGCAGGTGCACTGTTACGCAAGGGACGTGTAGGAGCAACAGAGGGGAAAACGGAGGAGTCTGGATCTGAGAGCTGTAGGGTGAGGGAGATCACAGAGCCGTCTCTTTCAGGTCGTTGAGGTTTGGCATACGAGACCTGGAGGGGCGTCCGAAGCCATGGCCGTTCTGGCCTCCCTTGATGCTCATTTGCTCTGGGTAGGGGTTGCCCTCTGGGCGGCCCAGGGCGGACGTGTGCCAGCCAGACTCCAGCTGTCCGGGCAGAGGGTAGGCTGTCTGGCGGCTCTTCAGCTGGGGCGTGCTAACCCCTGAGTGACCCCGGCTTTCTGTGAATCCACCTTGAGCAGTGGCTGGATTAGGCAGCGGCTGGTAGCGCATGTCAGATGGCGCGGTCTGGTTGGAGGACGAGGATGAAAGGTGCAGGAGTTTGCGCAGAGACTTCAGTGGCTGACTCTGAGGGGGACATTAAACATTATACATGACGAACACATTTGAATCAAACATTGAAGAAAAAGAAAAATAGTGTCATTTTGTGAGACTTGCCGGAGAGTGTGAGTCAGATAGCTTCTCAGGAGGCCAGTCCTTGTCCCTGTCTCGGTCGCGCTCTTGGTCCCGGTCTCTGCTCTTGTCACGGGTCCTGTGGCGGCTGCTCTGGTGACCTGAAGACCTGGAGGACTTCTGGATGACTGTGTCCACCCCTTCATTAGGAACCTTTCACACAGTGGGTGTAGATATCACTTAACCTGTCCAAACTAACCATTTCAAACTTATGACCAAAGTAGTTCCACACAATGTAAAGAACAACAAGTTCATGTTTGTTTTTCTCTGAACAACGAATGTGTCCACCACAGGTTTTTACTGTATTCCTTGAAGCTTATATTCTATACAGTGTCCGATTAAAACCTCAAAAATATGCTTTAGAAAACAGATTAGTGTGTTTCATGTTATCCCTTACATGTGTATTTACTATGGACATAAGCTAGAACATATTTTTGACAATAGGCCTTTAAATGCAGTGAAGTCAGAAAAATTTAAAAACATAACATGCATCTGGAGCCAGAAACCCTAATCATTCACTGATCTGAGGAAGAGTAGAGACATCTTCTCTTGTTTATGATTAAGTGCCATACAATCCATGACATATCGAATCATTTTCAAATCATCTACTCTTCATGCAGCAAACACTATTTTCCACCAACTCTGAGTCTGACTGCCTGATTCCTCCTGGCCAGATTGAGTTTATTTGTGCTCTGTCATCAGACGTAACCCCCCTCTCAGCATCTGAACAGACTGCCACATATAAATAGAAATGTGAGGAGAAGAAAGAGTCTCAAACACCTGTGTCATGCCGAACCTTTACTGCCACTGAAACGGCAGTCAGTTTAACATGTCAAAATGTGGATGCTTTTATATTTAGCAACTCTTTGGGTTCCTCCTCCTTCCTGATCTATCCTCTGTAATCAGGTCACAGGTTTAGATACACTTTGAGGGGCAGAAAAAAAAAGTTGATCAAATGCTTCTGTGTAAGCAGGAAAGCTTCACGTGAGTGTAACCAGGCACACAGACTCCTAAAATCTCATGTGCTTATCCAAAGCCTGAGCGCTCTCGTTCATCCTCAGCTCATAACCATAGACATGCTGTTAGGGCTGTGGCTGAAATCAGTGTCGACTGACGAGAATCAAATGGGCCCAACACAAAATTGACCAGCCAGATCCATTTATTGACGTGTAAACAGCCCTGCGCTTCATTAAATGGAAAATTCTAAGAGTACGATACTTTTTAATCAATTAAACGATCCACTATCAATAATCTGAACATTAAAAATGGCACTTTATCGCCTCATTTTCACTACTGATTAAGAGTTGTACTGATACGCATAGATGGATTTGACTGGTTTATGTTGACAGCTCATTATTTTGTGAATGAATGAATTGAAAAATATAATCAAAGAAAACTACTAAAAAACAGCTCACTATGAAATAATAAAGCAGTCTTGATTACTGTTGTTAATGCATGCAATGTCAGATGGGTGGCGTGGAGTTAGCAGGTGAATAGGATAGTGTAAAACAGCATGTACCATGGAAGAGGACACTACAGGGAGGACTCTCACAGAGGAACTATGCTTTATGTTATTCTTTGGGCTAAACAGAGGGAAAAGACATTTCTTGATGACAGGAGGCCTTCCATCAGGGACTGGCATCTGCAATATAGAGGCACATGACTGGTGGCACAGGGAAACATGATGCACATGACAACAAGAAGAAATGATTTTATATCTCTGTAAATGTGCTAACAAGGCAAATGCATTGAACATTTGAAAAGCAGAGGAGGAGATACAGTATGTAGACAGACATCAGAGGACATGTGC